ATGGCAAAATGTAATCTATCATTTAATCTTAAGGATACCCACTTCAACTCTCCGAGGGGAGAGGGGTAGGAGGAAGATTGAAAATCTTAAATGTTATGTGAGGTCGAGTGAGGATTCGGTTGAAAGGGTTTTTCAAGACGATAAAAACGCGAAATTATTGAGGTCTCTATGATTTTTTTTTGCAGAGTTATGCTCATTTAAACATTGGTATTTTTTAGCATTAGCAAGGCCCACGGCGCGGACGTCAAACATAAGGTTTCGTGCATGTCCTTACACACACACACACACACACACACACACACACACACACACACGCGCGCGCGCGCGCGCTCTTCTACATGCTTTCCATCCACTTAGGAACATGCGCAAAACCTTATTTTCCTCACGTCCGCGCCGTAGGCCTTGCTAGTGCTAAAAAATATCAGTGTTCAAATGAGCATAAATACGAAAAAAATAGTAGAGACCTTAACGACTTTGCGTTCTTCTTATCTTGAAAAGTCCTTTCAAACGAACCCTTACTCGATCCCACATGCCATTTAAGATTTTTCAACCTCTCTTCCCCCTCGCCTCCTCGAAGGGTTGAAATGGGTGTTTTTAGGATTAAATGATAGATTACATTTTGCCATTCTAACCTTATAAATTTAAATTCAATATCTCGAACCGTTCAGAAATTATTTAGATGGCCCCGAACTTTTGGCAGTCTGCATATATGTCCATGATCTGTAAAATCGTGTAAATAATTATTGCCATTATATAATGTATAGTTATTAACAACTAATTTTTGTTAAAAATAAATTTTTTTAACTAACAATAAATCAAATATTTTGTTTATTATCTACAATGTGATTTCTTTGATTAATGATAAACTCATTGTGTTACGTAGTGCTTAGAAATAATTTATAGTTGATGTTAATGGTTGAGATTTCTAGAGAAAATCGTATTCACATTTTAAATATTTTAATAAAATTATCAATTGCTCATCATGATAGTGATTTGTACATTTTGTGGAAGACTCGAATAAAGCTCAATTACTTGTCATCTTCCGTTTTGTTTAGATAAAAAAGAATAATAAAACTTTTACATATAGAATAACAATTTATATTAAAAATATTTCTTTTATATAATCATATGTACAATCACACACACATATATGTGCGCGTACGCATACGTATGAAGAGAGAGAGAGAGGGAAAGAGGGAGGAGGGAGAGAGAGAGAGAGAGAGAGAGAGAGAGAGAGAGAGAGAGAGAGAGAGAGAGAGAGGAGAGGCGAAGAGAGAAAATAAGAAGGGGAGTGATAAGAAGATGTAATAAGAGTGAAGTTGTAAATGTGAATGGAAAAGAAGGAAAAAAGATGGATAGAAACGACGAAGAGAAGATAGAGATAGAAAAAGAAAAAAGTTAACAGAGAACGAAACGTAAGCGCTTATGTTTCATATCAGCCAAAGAAATAGAATAGAACGTGCGCGTGTGCAAAAGGAATATTCCGATTAGTAACTTCTCTTATCTCTCTCTTTTTCTCTTTATTTTTCTTTTTTACTCTTCTTTTCCTCTCTGTTCCTCTTTCTTTTTCTTTTTTCCTTACACTCTATCCTTCCCTCTTCTTACCGTTTCCCATTTTTCTTTTTCTCTTTCTTCTTCTTTCTTTCCCTTTTCTTCTTTCTTTTTCTAACTCATTCATTCACTCAATCTCAATAAAGATAAAGAAAAATATTAAAAGGGAGAACTGTTTTACACATAGATCAAATGGCTCGCGATTAATTAGCTTTATTTGACCAGTTGATCCGTCGCTTTTTCAGGTGATAGCTGTGATATCAATACTCTTTATTGTGCTTTCAACGATCGCACTAACTCTCAACACCATTCCTAGTATGCAAGTAAATGATGAGAAGGGAAACTTTCAAGACAATCCGCAGCTTGCTATGGTGGAGGCTGTATGCATCTCGTGGTTCACTCTCGAATACTTGCTTAGGTTCAGTGCCTCGCCGGATAAATGGAAGTTTTTCAAGGGCGGTCTTAATGTGATCGATTTACTGGCGATACTACCATACTTCGTATCTCTATTCCTGGTTGAAACCAACAAAAACGCGAACGACCAATTCCAGGACGTGCGCAGGGTAGTACAGATCTTCCGTATAATGCGGATCCTGAGGATCCTGAAGTTAGCCCGCCATTCAACCGGGCTGCAGAGTCTCGGCTTCACTTTACGTAACTCATATAAAGAGCTAGGGCTATTGATGCTTTTCTTGGCGATGGGCGTCCTCATATTTTCGAGTCTCGCCTATTTTGCTGAGAAGGAGGAGCCCGGGACCAAATTCATAAGCATTCCAGAGACCTTCTGGTGGGCAGGCATTACAATGACCACCGTCGGATACGGCGACATCTACCCCACGACCCCGCTCGGCAAGGTGATCGGCAGTGTGTGTTGTATATGTGGTGTCCTGGTAATCGCGTTGCCCATTCCCATTATCGTCAACAACTTCGCCGAATTCTACAAGAATCAGATGAGACGGGAAAAAGCCATCAAAAGGCGAGAGGCTCTCGAGAGGGCCAAACGGGAAGGCAGCATCGTATCTTTTCATCACATCAACTTGAGAGACGCTTTCGCCAAGAGTATGGATCTCATCGACGTCATTGTCGATACCGGTAAGCGACGGACCAATGTGTGCGCGAAGGGATCTATAATCTGTTTCGCGTTACAACGCTTTGCGTTTATCGAACGAAACCGATTTTGATCCAGGATTATTACCGCTGATCAATTAACCAATTTTTTGGTAATATACGAGTATTATCTACTTCTTAATATACTATTTTTATTTTTTATTTTCATCCTTTTTTCCTTCTTCCTAATAATATCAATATTAATATTATCAATATTAATTTGTAAAATGGGATTATTTGTACAATCTGATTTTATGTTACGATACATTAATCAATCCTTAAGATTTATTGAAGATTTATCGAGGTTTCTACGTCTATAAATTAGTCTCAATGTAAAATATTTATGAAGCCATCATTGTTACAGAACTCAAGATTCTCGATTCTGATATACTTAAAGTAAGACTTAATGTTGGAGTAAGATAAAGGGCATATCAGCATACAGTTGTGTGCAAATAATAAACGTTTCCCTTTTCCGTAGAGAGCACTATGTTATTAATTTATTTTTGAGTAGACTAATGCATACAATATACATGCATACTGCCCGATAATCTTATCCCGCTTATTTTCGATAGAAATATAAGGTTTATACATAAAAAATAATATTTTATATAAAAAGTAATTTTTTACATTTTTACTTCAATAATAAAAAAATTTAATACTTTTTATGAATTTTTATACGAAATATAAAATTAAATTTTTTAACATTTTTTACATTTATTTATTATTACATTTATTTTAACAATATTTTAACATTTTTTAAATATTTGATTTGAATATTTTTGTTAAAAGATTTTCGCGTAGCGTATTTACAAATACATAGTATTACATGTTGCTTTTTGTATGTAATTATATAAAAATAAAAGATTACTTAA